AATAAAGATAGAGCATACGTTGTGTCACCTTCTTAAATAATTTATGAGTAAAAAAAACATAACATACGCGATGAGGGTCATTGATTTAACTTCCTCCCTCCCGAAGATAAGGAAGATTTAGATTCGTATGGATTTCAAGATGAATTTAGTTATGGAGTGTCCACTTCTGAGAGGGTTTAGTATAGTAATTAAAGTGGCTCAGTATTAGTTACTATTTTGTCATAATTTTGGTTCATTATTTTCAATAAACAACCATTGTGATCGACCAAAATATTCAATCCTCTCAAAATTTGAGGTTTCACATTTCAGGATGCGTAGAATTCGAAAAACGAATAAAAAATTTTGTTGTCCGTCCGCCGACCGCCTTCCGCCATCCGCTCATTTTCTCCGAAACTACTGGACCGATTTTTTTTCAAATTTGGATATAAAATCAGAGGTCACCCGAGGATGATCCTCCTTCATCGACATTACCATCCGCCTTTTACTTTCAAAATGGCGGCCGAAAAACCTGCGTTGCTATAGACTATAGCTCCTAAACGAATGTACCGATTTCAATGAAACTTCGCCAAAGTCATTTTCTTGACGCCCTTTAAATTTATTTATATAACATACTTCAACGAAAAGAAGCTGGAAAAAAAGTTGCGAGAGATTTTAAAATTAAATTCCGAATAACTCAAAAAGTATACACTTTTTTGTTGATAATGAATATGGTTTCTTAAAAGTTTACGAAATTTCCTAAAAACTAAATAAAAAATAGTTAAAATCGGAAAATTAGCAGCAAAGATATGGCCTCCGATTTTTTTAAATATGTCTAATCCAAATGTTATATCCTTGGTTTGGTTTTTAAATTTTGAATGTGTTACTGATATAATGCTATTTTTTTTATCATATTATCAATGATTAAAAAAAAAGTTTAGTCAAATAATTGGAATCACCTTTTATTTACTTTTCTTTGTAACCAAGTGGGTAATGTTACTTTAGATGCATAATTGGCTGGTAATAATAAACCATTGTGGAATAATTTGCAGCGTTTTTATTTATAAAAACGCATAGTTATAGATTGTTATAGCTCATTGAAAAATGAAAAGTTCAACTGTATCTACAAATGAATAGTGACTTTTAAACTATTTTACCTGAAACTGCACGAGAATGGTTTGTTTGTTTCTTGGAACTGAGAGGACTCAATGTTCGCAGCCTTATGTAACATAATATGGCGACTTCGGCCTGTTTAGATTTAGATTATAGTTAACATGATAAAGCACCGTAGTATATCTCAAAATAGCCTCAGTTTTACTTTACTGCAAGAATCTCGCAGGTGTTCTTAGACATATCTTACAGGGTTCGGTCTTGGCCTTGCAATAATTTAAGCTGTTTTGGTCTCGCAAGACGAATTCCAAGACCGATTTATGGCAATAAGATATAAGATATTAAAAGACTAAACGAGAATAATATCTTTTGTTTCATGATTTTATTAAAATTATCGGACATCATTTGACTGAATACATTTAAAATATTATTAATCACTATTTAAATAAATTAGAATGCATTCAAATCTTTATTTGATTCATCATCTATGTATCCGATAGAGCTAGTGACAATTTACCATAGGTTGTTACTTTTTGTTTCTCTGTGTACTAAATTTCATTTAAAAACATTTATTAAAGGTAAATTCAAAAATGATTCAGATGTACAAATTACTAACATAATTAGAAATTTGAAGCTCATTTGAAGTTTTTTTTTTTAAATTGGAACTTTTAGTCCCGTTTTTCCTTAATTCTTTCTCTAGTTGCAGTCAGTGAAAATTCCAAATAAAAAAATAAAAAAATTATATTGTTCTGACATGTTGGTATAAGAAGTTGACATTATGAGATGATTTTTTAATAAAATTTAATATATGAATATGAAATATAAAATTATGAATTTAATGGTGGAAAGGGGGAAGGATGACTGGAGGTAAAAGTAAAGGCAGCTAAAAAATTTAGTTTTTTCTACCTAGCAAAAAATCTACTTCCGGCTTTTTTCTGAAGTTCTGGGAGAACGAGATAATGTGTTAAATTGTTCAAATAGCGGAAATATTAACCGGAAAACTTCCATGTGACCACGATTTCTTGGAAATAAGGACCATCTATTCTACCCATACCGGGAAAGCTCTTATCTCGTACAATAAAGTAGTACAGAAGCGGAACAGTTGGCAGCCTTGGAAATAATGTTATATCATGAGCTAGCCGTTGATGAACGATATCGTGGCAGAGCGTAATATTGCAACCTGGCAGCTATCGGTGCATGAGCACGGTAACTTCTCGGAAATATTACAGTCTTTGTTGTGGAAATAAAACATGACCCGATTATATAATATGTATAAAAGGGTGTTGATAAAGAGTGTCAAAGATCATTATAACGGACTTCGTAGATCAATCAAGTTGAAAAAAAAATGGTGGTGATAGATTCCTCAAGGAAAGGGGTATATGTTTAAAATGAATTCTGTTGACGATAATGGGAGTCTTTTATTGCAAAAGTTTTTTTTTTTTTTTTTTTAACTTCATTCTTCAACTCACACCTGTCAGGAGTTCCGACAATCAGCGAGTGTGATGTCAAGATGTCAAGATTGGTCTTGGAATAGACGTGAGGGAGAGGAGTACCCAGCGGCGTCCTTCCTGTCTTGAGTGTAATATTTATAGTTAGTGGAGGAGATCCTTCATCCAGCTTCTTTTAAGCCTCCTTAGGGTGCTATCGGGCATGTTAGTTGTGGCCATGCCTCGAATCAATGAGTTGGTATGTCCGTGTAAGTTATTATGAAATCTCTTGTAGTATGTTCGTCGTTAACTGTTGGCATCTGTAAGTCTTTATGTAGAGTAATGTTACTGATGTACCAGGGAACCTTGGTGATAATCCTGAAAGTTTTAGATTGAAAAGTCTGTAATTTACGTATGTGAGACTTTTTGGCTGTCCCATATATCTGTGAAGCGTAGGTCCAAATAGGCTTGAGTAGGTAAGTATATGTATTCAATTTCTGTCTAAGTTTTAATTTCGAATTTATTTCAAGGAGTGAGTTAGGTTTAGTACAATAGTCGTAGGTCTTAGGTTTAGAGTTTTTGTTTAGTTTTTGATTTGTGGGCCCCATGTCATTCTTCTGTCAAAGGTGGGTCCAAGATATTAAACGTTGTCTGTCTGAGGAATTTGGATAATCTCAAGGTAAATTATTGCAAAAGTATTTTTCCCACAATGGTCCAAGTGGGAAAAAAAAAAAAAAAAAAATCTAAAGTTTTGAAACTATAAGTAGATTTTGCATTTTGAGTACACAAGTACAGGTACTATGTTAATAAGATAAAACTCTGGTGTGATGTGCTTAAGTTAAAGCAAAAATTACGGGAGGAACAAAATATAATTTTAAATGATTATTACAATATGTTTTTCAGAGCCGTCCAATATACTCTATTTATGTTTTTAAGCATACTCTATTTATGATACTAAGCAATTCCTTTTACGCATATTGTTTAATTATTTTTTGTTAATAATCAATAATGAAATGCCACAAAATATTTTTGTCTAACAAAAATGTCACTGATAATGAAGCCCACTCCATACTTTGTTATCGGTATTATCATTTGTTTAAGCAGTACAATTCTAATTTTATTAATATCTAATGCGGTGCGCGCATTAGATGCAGTTTCGCTTACCGTCTTACCTAAGTAATACACTACTCTAAAGTAGATAGAGGAAAGTAAGTTCTAGTAGTAAGGTAAGTAAGTTCTGAACGGAGGAAAATAAAAGTGAAAAAGACAGAAAATGAAAAAAAAAATCACAAAAGTTCTTAGTGATTTAAGGTCATGAAATTTCACTTACTGAATTTTCATAATAAACCGACGATATGACCTTCAAATCATTAGGTAACGGGGTGGCCGAGCAGACTAACGCGTTGCCCAACAACCTGATGGTAAATCGAAGATTGCAAGTTCAAATTCCGTTGCCAGGGGGACTTTTAACTTTGATATAATACCCCACCCTCTCTCCTGACCCGGGAATAAACACGTATAGCCAAAGATACGAGGGAATGGACAAAAAGAAAAAAAAATCGTCCAGCACGTCCCGAGAAAATTGGCTTTTCCCCGAAGAATTTCGGTATTTAGGAGTGTGGTTAAATAAATAACGAATCATCGATAAATACACCGTAGAAATGCTGAAAAGAAGAAAAGAAAAGAAAAATCAAAGATCATCTTTGACATAAAAACAAAAATAATCATGCGGACATTCTACAAACCCTCCAACAAAGAACGTTGAATTTGAGTTGCATGCTGTTGATGCAAGTTATTAACACTGGTCAAACTTTTCGACTTGAGGTTGACTTTTTCGTTTTGCACAAGCGTTAGAAATATCTCACCAAGAATTAATTTTTAGTTATGATTATTCAATAAAACCAAAAACAAATTCGTAAATTATAGTATTTTTTTCGTAATAAGAAAATTAATTGGTTTCTTTGCAGATATATCTTATTTCATTCATTTCCCCTAGTTTTCGATAAAATTTCAAATTATTAATTGCTTTGGAATTTACTAAATAAACTGGGAAACAGTGCTGAGGTTATTTTTTTCAGTAATTACATAAAATTGTGTTGCATTGAATTTATAGAGTATTTTATTATATCTATACTTTTTGGTTTATTGCATTTTATTTTCATTAATCGATTTGGATTTTATGTATTCTTGTGAATCTTTTGGTGTGGATGTTATCATTTAATGAACTAAGATTCTATAAACTGAGGCATGATTAATTTTTATGAATTATATCAAATAACATTTTAAAAAATTTTGATAATCGTCACCTTACTTATCTAGGTCAGAAATATGAGTCTTATAGAAAAACACATTAAAGTAAAATTATTTTCGAATTGGATGTATTTAATTATTCACTTATTAATCCTCTTGAAAACCCCTTTTGACTATATTTACCATTAAATTAATTAACTAGTTATTATTAATTAACAACAGAAACTATTTGACCTCATTGGCTGTAAATTAAACATTCATTTGACTAAACATATTTTTTTGCATTTTTTAAAAATTTAGAATACCCTTTTCAAATAAAATTAGCAATTCGACCTTAGTGGAAAAAAGATTTTATACTCTTTAAATTTTTTAGTTCATATGTTTTATTAAATTAACAATCGCCTAAATGTAATGTTTTAAGTTTAGCCTATAAATGAAAAGTTCAAAAAAATTGATAATTTCTTTTTGATCTTCTTAACCGGTGAGTCCTTATTATAATTATTCTTTTTGATTAATTTAAGTTTTTGTTGTGTTAGCTGAAAAAAAAATGTTCTCATACTTTGACTCATTAATTTTATGAATTTCGTACAAAGTGCGCATTTTTCTAATCAATTTTGTGAATTATTTATTCAGAGATGTATGATTTTATTAAGTTTACAATTCAAGGTTAGGTGAGACAATAACAGATTATTAAAAAATAGGTTCATTAAAGTGTTTGTGTTAACCTTAAGTCGTACATGTCTCTCTCTATAAGAAGATATGAAATCATACTAATCGATATATAAGTACATATAACCTTCTCTATTAGTTTTATTTTTTACTTAAAGTCATATCAATCCAAGATCCTTTTTTTTTTTTAGAGTAAATTAGAATGAGTTTAAATTAGATCTTCGATGTGTAACACTCGGATAAAGTCGGCTGGAGTCGACTAATCATAGTGTTTTTTATATGGATTAAAATTTCTCAAAAACTAAAAATCATATCGGCACATTTCTAGCAAGGGAAATGTTCATCTTTCATCCTCTCTGTAACGAGCTATTATTTAAAATTGTATCTTAACGCGTGTTAGAGATGCGAAAAAGAAAAAAAATAATTTCGAAAACCAAATTATAACTATTTTTATTGAAGATATGGATTAAAATATCTTACAAACTAAAAATTGGACCTGCATACTGTAAGCGAGAGAATTGTTTAACATTTCATACTCTCTGTAATGGGCTATTATTTATAATTTGTATTGCATCTATCTTGATGTCTAAATCACACATCTTAGTTGTTTTTTATGTGACATACCGGTTCATTATCCAATTCTGTAGATTGATGCCTCATTTAACACCAGATTGAAGAAGTCTCTATTAAATGGACTGATATTCAGTTCTGTCACGCACCGTAAAGCGTCCTTATGTGATGAGAAGTATTGCATTTATAGGTACAACTTGGAATGTCAGCTTCTTTTATTCTTTCAATACAGCTTAGTATTATTTTCTACAGTCACTTTAAGGAATATTTGGGGATATATGAGTCTGGTACCACATATGGCCTCTGTTGCGAAAAGTTACTGTTCTTTGCTTGAACGAGTGAGAGGTACGAATTGAAGATAGTCTTCAACATAATTATTTGTAATCTCATTCTAAATATGTACAAACTCAATAAAATTAAAATATTCAACTGCGTTATTAAAAAAAATGGATAATTTTACCTTACAGTCAAAATAATATACTACACTTCTTATTAACTTTTAACTATTTTGTAAACATTTATTTATTGAGTATTACAACAATCTGTCTCTTGAATATTGGATATAGTGAGGTAGGATAACATTCACAGTATATATACACAAAATATTAAATAAATAGAAGCAAAATAATAACCAAACGTGTCTACAATAAATAATAAAATAAAATAACCTAAAAATAAGAAAATTAAAACTACGCAAAAAAACACATGCATACCTATTAACAATCAGGCGAGGGAACTCCAGGAGAACTCTGCACTACTCTCTCAATCTCGTCACTGGTACTAAAGCCAGCAGAGATTGATCGAGAGCACTTTTAGCTATATATACTCATGTCTTGAGTGGAGAATCTGGCCATTGCTAAAACTCCAATATATACAATCTGCAAAAGGTCGCGAGGCCACTGCCGTTTCAACCTTCTTGGAGGATAATAGGAATGAGTGGTGCTTGATTTGTTTCAAAAGGATTTGGATGGTACCTAAGATTCTGGTAAAATTTGGAGAATTTTTTTGGGAATAAGGTCTAGGACAAACGGGATATTGAGGTCATGATATAGGATTTTGTTGGTTATAAGATTATTGTCTGGTGACTGTGGTAATGTTTTTATAACGTTGGGGCAGTTATAAACTAGTCATTTCTTAACTAACACAGTGTTTCGGGTCATTATTCTAATGAAAACAATTTTTTTTTTATTATTATCGAAATTTACAACTGTATTAAATGATAAATACAACAAGTAAATATGAACAAGTAACATTCCATGTACAACATGAAGAGAAACTACCGATTGGTAGCACTCCAATTATATTTATATATTATAAGGTCCCGAGGCCATCTTTCTTTCAGACGCCTCGGAGGGTTATCAGGAATAGAAGAGGAAGCAAGCTTGCAAACAAGAGAGTTCTGATGGTTTAGAAGTTTACTATGGAAGAATAGGTATCTAGATTGAGCTAAATCGGAAACATATGGTACATTAAGGGCATTATGGATGATTTCATTTGTAACAAAGTAGGGAGCATTGAGGATTTTGGATTGAATACGAGAGTAATTTGATTGTTTAGTAGAATCCCAAAGCTCGATCCCGTAAGTCCAAATAGGCCTCATTATAGTAATATATATATATATATATATATATATATATATATATATATATATATATATATATATATATATATATATATATGAGTCTTTTGTAAAATATTAGAGAGTTTGTCTAGTAAGTACTTCAGTAGTCGAAAACGTCGAGCGGTTTCTAGTCGTTTCAATCTTGTATGAGGGTAAATTTATTTTTTAACCCAAATTTTCCTCAATTTATATCAATTTTCTTCTCGAAATGTCTATGTAAACGTGTTTATTCACTTTACTATGCGAATATTTCCCCTAAGTGAAAATTTTCTACACTAGATGCCACTTTACATTCCCACAACAAGAAACGTAACATAAAAAAAGAATATTAAAGATAACATAACATAAGAACAAGAAAATGAACATAAGAAAATAACACTTCACGAATCACTATATACACATAATCGTTATCTATGACTAACTTTTTTTTTTTTTTTTTGAGTAATCCAAGATCTCTTTTACTTGTTGAAGTCTTGTACTGGCTCGGTCAGTGAAGTTTTTTGTTAAACGGTTTGTGTTTGGTTTGTTTAACTGACAGTTTACGATCACTTCCAAACTACGACGTCTGGTTGGTAATTTAATTAACTTGGTAATTGAATTTGAAAAACAATAGTTTAAAAAAAAGTTCAAATGGATAAGCGGAAATTACGTCCCCGCTCTTTCGACTCGAATCCCATCCCCTTCTTTCAACTTCTTCTGACATAGCTTATTTAATTAGCGAAGATATTGAGTATAAGATAGCTTTTAATTCTGATTATCGATCGATTTGTTGAGTACTTGAAATCTATTTTATGAATTAATATAAACTTTTATAAGGTTTTAACAGTTAGATGTATTATTTTCAATGATATATGAGGTTTTACTTTTCAAAGTACATAAAATTAGGAAATAATTTTTTTAGAAAATTCTTTTTTTCGACAATTTTTTTTTCCGAAACTAATTGGCCGATTATTTTAATATTTGGTATCAATGCTAGAATTCAACGGAGATGTATTTTATTCTTTTCAAATGTCGTACGAAAAACCTGCCGTGCTACAAACTGTAGTGCTACGATAGCTCTAACGATTTTAATGAAAAGGAAAACAATATATATATATATATATATATATATATATATATATATGTATCCAAGTCCCCCTTAAAATTAAGTCCTGGATCCGCTACTTTTACATAGTGTAAATTGTTTAAGAAGTTTAATATTGATAACAGTTAAAGCTTAACATCAACTGTTTTTACCAAACTATAAAAGTATGTTTATTTTGTGGTGAACCCACAACTTCTTGCCCTACAATATCCTTCAATGATATTCCACTTGTTCCTGGTGAACAAATCCACTATCTAGGACTCCACTTGGATAAATGTTTCACTTGGAATCCGCATACTATACTGAAACGACAAGAAACTGCTCGACGTTTCCGACAGCTCCAACAATTACTAGACAAATGCTCTAAACTTTCAATTAATTACAAAAGATTCATCTACTTAACCATAATAAGACCAATATGGATATACAGAGTTGAGCTTTGGGGTTCTTCCAAACCATCGAATTCCTATCGTATCCAATCCTTACAATCCAAAATCCTTAATGCCTCATATTTAGTCACAAATAAAACCATTCATTAAGATCTTAATGTTCCATATGTCGCTGATTTAGACCGAGCAAGATACCTATCCTTTCAAGATAAACTCCAGTCCCATCCGAATCCACTTGTTTCCAGCCTTGCTTCTTCCTCGATTCCTGATAATCCCCCAAGGCGTCTGAAAAGAAGATGGCCACGTGATCTTCTCCCCTAAAATTAAATAGGGAGTGCTACCACTGGGCAGTATCTCTTCAAGTCTCTTTATGTCATTCTTTCCAATGTGTGTTTTTTTACTATTTGTATTGTTTATACAGTTGTAAATTACATCAAATAAATAAAATAAATAAATCTTTATTCTATAACTAGCTATAAGATTTTTCGGGCCTTTTTGCAAATTATCCCGGTAGTTACTTTCTGTAACCGTTATCAAAAAGTTCAGTTGCGTTTGGATCAATGCTGTTATTCTTCTAATATATAAACATCATATTTTATGCGTTTTAAGAAAACAAGTTAATATAAATGAGTAAATAACTTAACATCAGGCGTTATGTTACAAATAGGAAAAATCAAACCACACAAACTTGTATCTCTAAAACTTTTATATGTTTGAGGTTATGCATATTGCAGAGAATTTAGAAATTGCCGTTAACTATAAAACTTATCGTAAGAATTTAAATAAGTTTTACACCGAAACGTTGAACATCTTGTATAAGACTAATAAATCTAGCTAATTTGTTTTTTATAACGTTGTCAGAGCGATCAGCTGTTTTCGGTGATAACCTTCATTGGTCGGATTGTTGAAAAAAATTATCTATGATTTTAATTTTTACCTCAATAACCAATCCATCCAGTTCTTTCTGTCAGTCAAAAAACTCAGAGTAATCTTTGATCTGAACCTCTGTTGGAATAACCATATTTCTCGGATTACCCCAAAATCCGTAACCTACAATTCCGTGATTTTTTTTTCCAAAAACAATCATACAGCTCCTTGTAATATCCTTTATTTTCCCCCACTTCGACTACGGTTGTTTGGTTTAAGGG